GTGTGTGTGTGTGTGTTTGTGCTCATCCCTAGATCACCAACATGGAGGATGATCCTAACTGGTACACGGCTGAGCTCCACAACAGAAAAGGCTTTGTGCCAAAGAACTACATCAACCTGCGGCCGCACGCGTAAGTTCCTTTACGTGTATCTCACACTGAGTGCTAAGCCTTAACTGAAACCTACAGCAAATTTAACCCAAATCTGAACCCTGAGTCTTAAGCCTAAATGGCCTCATGGCTCTCTGTGAAGCTGATAACTTGTCCCAAGGCTTCACACACACACACACACACACACACACACACGTTTTCATTGGTAAAGCAGATGACTACATATCACACGTCCAGCACTGGTCCGTCTAAGCAGCTCATCAGTGAGTGTGTATGGCTTCAGGCGTTTTCTGCTCTGCTTTGGACATCTGCACTCCGGCATAAGGCAGCCTACCCAAAGGGACACACTCGCTGCTTTACATAATTGCGCACAATGCAGCCGCGTATAAAAGTGTGTGTGTGTGTTTTTACAGTGAAGCTGCTGGTACACCCTGAATCTCCATCAGATGGTCATGCACCAGCTGGGCTCTACTTCTTCTCACTGTGACAAACACTAAACTGACAGCACAGCCATTGCAGCGGCTCGAGCTCATTAATGAACACTGATGTACGGTCCAGTTGGAGTTTGTGCACACCACGGGGAGATGTGTTGTCTGCTGGGAAGTGTGTTTACGAGAGTGTTTCCCCTCCTCCACATTTCTTCACAGAACCATGTAATAAACCCCCAGAACACTAACCTTGTGACCTTAAACGAGATCGTCCTTTAATTTATCCACCATACTGGATATGTTATCTGCTCATATGAGTCATCAAACTGCCGTTGCGGCGCGCAGGATCATGAAAGCAGAACATCATTTATGCAAGCCTCGCATCCCAGCAAACTGCTCGACTAAGCAAGACTAATAAGCAAAATAATAAAATGAAAAACGACACTATTACTTACGCTTCACCACTGACAAATGAAATACAGCATTCTGGGATTTGTGTTGAGTGCATATTTAGCTGCGCGTTTAAAAATAACTTCACAGACGTTCTAATTTCCACCACACTCTCCTTCATTTATCAGCGTTGATATGTGTAGTGCTGAACAACACAAACATGCAAAGTTTTTAGATTTTCAAACAAACGCGAGAAACATGTTTGTGGCTGCGATACATCTAAACAACACAGATCGTATTGCATGAAGCTGTAGCATCACTGACCTCGTTCTTTCATTCTTACTAATGTTCTGTATTTCATGTCTTTCCTCCAGCTGGTTCGCCGGCCGTATATCCCGCGGTGTGGCCGAGAGTCGACTCAGACACAGGGAGTGTGGAGCTTTCCTGGTCAGAGAGAGTGAAAGTGCTCCCGGAGAGTTCTCCATGTCCGTGAGGTAGGAGAACATCGTACTATTAGTACTATTCTTCATTGTTCATGCATCTTCTCACGACTGCAACCACCCTGTTTCAATTACTACATCTATGAACATATGTGCGTATCCCTCCACACACAGTATCAGTCCCTGTTTTTTGATTATTTAAAGTGCTATCAAAAAAGTTCCGGGATTGAATCTGCAAATCTGATTTACATTTGGCCACCATCTTGAAAGAAGTCAACAACTTGTGCCACAAAACACTGCTCCCAGCACTCCTGCCTTGATTGGAATGCTCCCTGGAAGTCCCATTCTGTAAGTGTGTCAAGCACCATCTGTGCCACACACTGGATCTCCTCCACCGTGTTAAAATGGCAACTCCTCAGATTGCATTTCATTTTGGGGAAAGAGGGGGAAGTTGCGGGGAGCCAAATTTGACAAGTAGGCCAATTGGAGAGCTGTGCTGGTGTAGCCAAAGCCCACGCTGTGAGTGGGCGTGTTGTCATGACGGAGAGGCCAATTGATATCACGCCACAGTTAAGGTTGTTTGCAGCGGATGGCCTCCCGTGGACACAATGAAACAGTCTGACCCTGCACGACAAATTCACAGTGCACAGTCCCGCAAATGCCAAAGAAGCTTGGCCTCGGTCACACTCTCGACCTGATGTGCCGTCTTGGGTCTCAGAGACTGTCGGCTCTTCCACCGTTAGGCTGCTGTTTGGTCTCTGGGTGATAGTCGATGATCCTCAACATGGAACAACATGTGACACGGAATTTGAAGTTTGCTCTCTGCACAAGGTTGAGGTCCATGGGAAAATTGCGAATGGACACGTGCTTGGTTGCAGTTTGCACCTTTACTGCAGGAGCATTATCAGGCCTTGCTCTGTTCGGGCACAACAGGAACAGTCACAGAACTTTTTGCACCTTGTACATTCTGAGCAGTCACAGCAAGGGGGTTTAGAGGACATGGTGTTGGGAAGAGGGTAAAAGGGAGGATCTGCAACCCCTCTGGCCTGATGTGAGCTAATCCTGTCTGGCACACTGTGGCATCTGGAGCTGCTGAACCGGCCGATCCGTTGTCTTGTTGGGGGATGAAGGTCAGGGATGCAGCTGAGGCTTGGCATTGTGCTCCTGAGGGCTGTGTGGATATTAGAAGTGTGGAGCCAGGGTGGTTGTGGGTGTGTGTGGTTGTGTCTGAAATTTGGCTTTATTAAGAGGCAGGTCTGGAACTGAGGGTTGGCTCCTCACTTGCAGTTGGGGCTGTAAGATGGCTCAAGTCATGGAGTCAGATTTTTGGGTTATGTCAATGTCTGGGTTTGAAACGCTTTCCCTGTGGATTTGTCTTATGTCTTTGGAAAACAGGACAGGGAAGGAAAAACTAGGTTGTCTGCAGTAAGGGAATTAAAGGGGAAAATAACAGATGAGTGAGGGAAGAGAAGGGAGGTGCTGTGTGTAAAACAGGTTTGCCAAGAGGGGACAGAGAGGATTTTGCTGTTACTTGTTTTTTTGGCACTTTGTTGGTGTGTCTCTCTGGCTGTTGTTGCTGGATGGTGCAGTAGCTTGAAAATTGGGTCAGGTGTTCGTGTGATTGTTTGTGTGTACATGTGTGTGGTCCTTGTGTACTGACAGCTCTCCTGTCGGAGGAGATGTCCTGGCAGGAGTAGCTGTGAAGATTTCTGCTCAGTGTGGTCCAGCACGAGAAAATCGGATCCACTTTCACAGCCATGAATGGAGCCATGAGAGGGAGTTGGTTTGAATTATTGTAAGAAAAAACAAATTGCAGGTGAAGTTAGAAATCATGCAGTAAATTTAGTAAAATTAAAATGAAATCCCTGGCTGCAATGTTTCTGGTAAAATTGCCTATATTTCTATTTTTTGAAATTGATTCATTGATGATGTGACAATTTAATTATATATTTTGAAACTAAGTGTAATTTTCATCTTCATCACTTTGATAAGTTTTAATAGTTGTTCTAAAGTCAAGGTATGAGCCTAGCCAAAAAAGTGGGAGAATTTTATCAAACCTTGAGTGAAGAATAAAGTAAAATTAAATCTCGAATTCCTATAACTTTTAAAAACTTGTGACGGATAATAATTCACTAAAATAACACAAACAGAGGAAGCCCCAGAGACGAATGCTGTGGTACAAGCTCTGTTGGCCGAGGCAGAATGTGAATGCTGCAAATGTAAATTTAGCAAATTTGCAATTTGCTGACCAAACATAGAGAAACTGGTGTATAGCAGCCATTGTTGTTTCTAGCACAGGCTCACCACGCGAAGTAAGTGGTGATGTCATAGTTCCTCAAACGCACCTTTTTACAAGTAAAATGTTACAACTAAAATCTGCACTTTGGATGGCACTTGTAAAAATCTCTGTTTTAATGATTTAAAGTGTGGCTGAGAGGCTCGAGACGCGGAGGAAAAACTAAGTTTGGCAGAATATCCGCATTAGTGCTGACAGGGCATCAGAGACAGAGCAGAGGGGGCCTTGTTTAAAATGCAGACGACAGAAGACAGCAGAATACTTTTTGAGAGGTGTGTATGAAAGAATTTGTGGCAGGGGACTAGCTTCAGACTGCGCCTAGTGAAACTGTCCCAATGGGTTATTTATTAGCAGTGTATTTTTGGAAAGTGGAGCGAAGTGACGCCAACCTTTATAGAGAGAGACGAGGAATACATTTTGCTGAGCTAGGCTTTAACAGCATAATTTGACTCAGCAGCAGATGCAGCCAAATGACAGATTTAGTCTTTTCTGAGTTTCTAACAATAGAATAATATCGATTTATTCAGAGAAAGAATATTTAAAGAGCTAAGATACGTCAACATAGTTTTAAACAAAAACGGCAGGATGTTGTTTGGCTGGATCCATTTTGCCAAAAGTGTAGTCGAAGAAACTTTCACTTTTTCTCAAATGGAAAAAATCTCACTTCCTGATTCTTTTGTTCAATATCAGTCTGTCACCGGCACATTAAACTCTCAGCTGAATGTTGCTGTGTTCAGGCTCTGTGAGTCACCACAGGACAGGATATGTGAAGGTCTCCTGAGATTATTTTATTTTTTGGATCTTTTAGTGTCGTTTTGTTTACTGCCATTTTCTCCTTGAGTTTGAATTGTGCTTTCTTGTCTCTTTGTCTGTGAGAGCATGACATCACTTCCTCTTTGAACGCTGGATATCCTCTTCTGTGACTCACCTCAAGGTCGTTCGACCACAGCTACGTCCTGTTTGACACAATCCTCCTCGAAGCGAACAAAACAGCTCATCAACACCCAGGTGTTTTTTTTTCCAGTGGCCTTTGTCTTTTATCAGGTGAAGATTCTGCAGAACAAAAGACGTTTTTCTTTCAGTCTGATGGTTCGACTGAGCCAGATGTCTGTCAGAAACTTTTGTGTGTGTCTGTTTCCCAAGGTCTTGTTATTGACGGAGTTCAATCCATGTGCTTTTCCCTGAAACTAAAACAGATATTCTTTAAAATCCATGTGTTTTTTTGGTATTATGTCTAAATTAAGGTTTTTCAGCCACAGGATAACCATCGTCGTGGCTGCCGTATTTGACATGGCCTCATTCTTCCAGTGGCTGATGGCTCATACGAACTCGGCCGTTCGTTCAGCCTCCTCGTCGTCAGACATCATTTGTCTCTTATCAGGGTCATTACTCTAAAGGGGAACCATTAAAGGGAACTGACCCTTTGGCTTATGCTTATTTTATAGGTTCATAATCTTCTCCACAAGTTCGCTGTCCCATGAATGTCGTCACTTGGGGGCAATTTCACACCGAGTGACTCCTGATGTCCCCTCAGACAGCAGTTAATTTAGTTTGACATGTTAATGCTTGTGGATGCATTATAATGCACAGTCAGTGAGTTATGCAGGGCCGTTTTTGAATAAATATGTAAGTGCAATTAGGTTAAATTCTTCTGTATGCATATTTTAAAAAAGAAGACCAATACCGAAACGACTCCAATGTTTGAAACACTTGCAGAAAGTTAGCTTGGCTTGGTCTTTTTCTCACAGCTTTAACCACAGTTAAATTGCATAATTTACAGTTCAGTGACCAAAGCACAGCGGAGACAGACTTGAGAAAGACGGAGACACAAATACAAAGAAGAAAGACAGAGTAGAGGACAAAGTTTAAGAGAAAGAGCAAACAAGAGTGAAAGCAGATAAAATAAGACAGTAAAAGGAGAAGCTAATGGTGTGGGGGAGGAGGTGTGGGGGACACACATGATTTATGTTCCTATTTATTTGTTTACACATGAGCTAATAGAGAGTAGAGCTGGAATTATTTGCTTTCTAGTCAAGTGTTTGATGAGAAAGAAGATTGACACCACTCATATGGTTTAGCACAGAGGACGAGGAACTAGCTTTAGCCAATATTGGTAGTTTGTAGTTTTTTCTTGGTTAGGCCCGAGTAAAACTTGGAAGGGCTTTCGACCCGTGGCTTTCGATTCCGCCTGTTGAGATTTGTCTCCTTGAATCAGACGATTTCTAACCTCGATGCAGCTCCGTCTCTAAAAGTTTATATCATATAATCTGGCCAATCTTCCTCTATTGAACTTCAAATTTACCAGTTGCAAATTTGAGATATTTATCCCCTGAAGTTCGGTATCTCTCCACCGTGCAGCAGATCTTGTTCTAAACCCGATTGTATAAGTCTGTCCTAATTTTCAGGCTCATACCCAGGATGGTTGAATTCGTCATATGAGATATCACATTTAATTAGTCTCAACAGTATCATGTGTGCACTCAGAGTTTTTATGTGGGAGGGTTTTGAGACTAATTAAACACCTAATGAGGAGCTGAAGACAATGTAAAGCTATACAGGGAAGTCTTTTCATAAGAAAAAGTAACTTATGAAACTACTAGAACTATATAAACCAACTCTAATTAATTTGCAAACGTATATTTTCTTTCTGATGATAACCGACTCGAGAAGACACTGTTACTTACTTTCTTGGGCTCATATAATTTATATCTGAAAGGCCTCTTTATTTAGCAGTCAACACACATGCGACGGAATTTCAGCCACCAAATATCTTTTACCATTCTTCAATTCATTCGTTTCAGCCCATACATACAAACACACACACACACACACACACACACACACACACACACACACACACACTTCCTGCCCCATCTATCTCAGCAGGTGACTGCCTTTTTTAATGCTCGCTTGCTCGCTCGCTCGTTCACTCACTCACTCACTCACTCACTCACTCACTCACTCACTCACGGACTTGCTTGGCTGACATGCAAACCGCAGGATGTCACAAGAGCAAGATAATACACAAACAGCACACACACACACTCATGACCACTTCTCACCAACGAGCTGCCACTCAGGACATACAAGCCGTGATCGCACACAGCATCAGTAACACATCGGCTGCCACATGTCAATCCCAATAATCTGTGATTTGCAGCGAAGCAATGAGAACGTCTTTACACGACCACCAGTTACACACACACACACACACACACACACACACACACACACACACACACACACACACACAGTTAAAGTGACAGCTTTAGGTGCTGCAGACATCTGCTGATGTTTAGAAAATGAACCGCAGATTAGACGGGTGGGGGGTCGGCAGAATGAGAGACAGTCAGAACAGGGAAGTGAGAATAGATTGATGGAGGAAGTGGAGAGACCATGATGGACGGATGACCTTCATGCATCTTGAACTGTGTTGGCACACAGAAAAAAGTGATAACAAAACTTCTGTCCTCTTCTACAGTATCTTTCACTGTGTGTTCTATCTCCGCATCTATTTCATTTTCTCTCTTTTTCAATCTTTCTCAGCCTTGTTCTCTCTTAATCTCTCTGTCGATTCGTTCTACGTGGAAAAATCACATAATCTCTCTATCGCTGTGGGCCTTAATTACACTGGATCAGGGAGATAAGAGGGCACTTGGAGAGAGAGAGAGAGGGTGTGTGTGTGTGTGTGTGTGTGTGTGTGTGTGTGTGTGTGTGTGTGTGTGTGTGAGCGAGATGGAGGAAACAGTGTGTGATGAAGCTGAGACAGATGCTGTCTGTCTTGTTATATAGCACACTATAGTTCTCTAATGTCTCTGGGTGATAAAACCTTTGTCAGCTACAATTTATATAGCGGCAACATTTCATCTACTTTCTCTCCTTCTCTTTTTCCTTCCTCTCTGTTTGTATACAAACTAACCCTGCACTCACCACAATGAGATCACTGACCTGTGGTTTGATTTGTTCAACAAGCAGAGGCGTCGCTAAACTGATGCAACACGCTGAGCTGAACAATTCAAAATGGGAGATTATCTTGCTGTTAATTAGGCAGGCGGGGTAACTCAGTCATATGCCAGCTTGGTTGTGATCCTTAATAAATGTACAAATGTAGAAATAAATGAGTGAGTAAATTTATAAATTAATAATTAATTCACTAAAAGAATAAAAAATAAATCCAGAAATAGCCTTTTTTTTAAATAACAAACTATATTTATTTATCTATATTGATGTGATATTTGTCGTTAATGTATATAATAAGTGAAATTTGGCGTTGTTCTGCATAATTATCCAGATGTGTCCAACATGTACACTCTCAAAGTGCCCTTATTGTTCCTTTATATTTCAACTGGATTTAGTTTAAAATACACTTGCCTTTTCATCTCCTGTGACTTAGCCTCTAAAAAACAACTTTGTTTTATTTGACATGTCCGTGTGTGGGTGTACAGACAACCACTGAATGAAATGGATGATTGCATTTTTCTGTTTTCAAGCTTTTCTGTTGCGGCATTAAATTTTAAGTGGACATCTTTTGTATTTCAAAACGGACTCAAAACAAACAACAGTGTGAGACATGGCATGCTTTGTGTTGCATAACAGCTGCAGTAAAATCTAAACTAGATGTAGTGAACAGGCCGCAGCACGATGACGTTTAGTTTTCCTTCCCTATAAGTATTTGATGATGAGGCTGTTTTACAATATTTGTATCCCCTAAAGGAAGGTCTTTAATCTCTGAACTCTTTTCTTTACCTGACACAGCTTCTTTCTTAATAATTCCTGACATACAAACAGCTGTCCAGGTGCCCAGCTTGTGACAGTAACACAGCCCCACCAGTAGGACGCAGCAGAGGGCACCCCACAGCCAGGGGTAATGGAGATCACTGTCAGCTGCATGTGAGAGCCAGTGGAGGATGAATCACAGAAGCAATAGAGACACAGCGGAGCAGATAACAAGAGGAATTGCGATAGGGAGGGAAAAGTTAGATAGAAGTCACATAATAAAGAAGTGAGAGCAACACAGAGAGAGAAATATGGACCCAGAGGCACAGCAGAGGAAAGAAAGACTGACAGATAGCACCGCTGCTCACACATAACGACTTCATGTTCAAAGACTACAAAGGCTGGTACAGTGCCAATCTAAAAACAAGTCAAAAAACTTTACATTCGGCTTGATTGAATGTTTTGAACTGAAAGAACGCTGTAGATTCATTACTTCTCAGAGATCGACTGAGGGTGAGAAGAGGGGAAACGAGGACACGCAGGGTGAAACAGAGGAGGCAGAGAAAGAAGGGCAGGGTGGAGGTGTAGCTGAATGCCATCCAGTCATCAGGGAGTCGGTCCTGCTTGTTCTCCGAGCTCAACGGCTGAATTAGAGAGAGAAATCCTGTGTGAAGAGACAAGCCGATGCTCATTTACTAGCTTGGGACAGTGCCAGCCAGTCGGACTAGATCGAGCAGGAGCCTGGTGAGGCTCAGATGCCAAATTTTGCTGGATCCAGAGAAAAGACATTTATAGCAGGAACCTGCTACAGACAAAGATGGGAAATAAGATTTGAAGCGTCATTAACGACACACACCTACTCTGTGATGTGTTTAGAAACATGGGGGAGTTGCACTGACTTCCTCTGCATATGATGATGCCGTTATATAACAACATGATCCTGGGGAGATGTCCAGATTTCTAAAGATAAGCTTACAAGTTACTTAGCAACCGCCACAGAGCCGGATAGAGGATCAGGTGTGATTGCCGACAAACACAAGGCAAACTTGAATCACAACAACGAGGCACGCACACTTCAACACAATGGCTATTTGTTTGACACCATCTGCTTTGAACAGAATCTACGACCCACATAGATGTAAATGTTATTGTCAGCATTTCACTTCCAACATAAGACTCACACACACTAAAAACAACCAGCATGACTGGTAACTGCCTCCAATCTCTACTAATTAGATTGATGTAGATTTTCAAAGTTGCTTTTTCCATATGAATATAATGGCTAATGTTTTTTTGGCCGTGTTGAAAATGAACACAGATGAACATTAATTAAAAGAGGAAGTACAGGCAATACCCGAAGGTTTTTCCTTTTTCTTTTCAGAGCAGGAAAATGAACAGGACGACACTGACCGCATGCCAGCTCTGACAGCTGACAGCTGTGGAGTTAAAATGGTGGTGGTGGTGGGGGGGGGGGGGGGGGGTGAGAGGACTAAAGGCCAAGACTGTTGTTATCAAACCAAACATGTTCCAAATGCTTCACATGCAAAAAGCAGTTTGTGAGGTGCAGACATGTTGCACTCGACCTCGATCTGTTGCACTTTGTTCATCTTCACTGTTCGTTTCAATGTGGCAGGAACACGCAGATACTGTTTAGAAAGATGGATGCCATGACGGGTCCGCAAAAGTTAATTCAAGGTGGCTGGTGACAGCTTAAACCTCCTCCACGTTAGTTCATGGGACAAAGTACAAGTCAAAGGATTTTTTTGAAAGATGTTTCTGTCATTAGTTCTTATCACACTGATGGTTCAAATGTTCATTTGTCCAGTAAGTTTGGTTTTAATTGTTATGAATGGGGTGAAATGTCACGACTGACATCAGGAACTGACTCACGATTGTTCAAGGACGTGTCCCGTCACAGAGCTCTGGCTCCAAATTACTTCTTGAATGGTGGCAGCGTTGGTATCTGGGACATTCCGGCCTCATTCGTCCTCATCCATCATTATATACAGTTTAAGGCTTGGACACGTCACTTCCATTTTTTGTTTTTAGTCCAACACTGAGCTCCTCATCAAATCTCTGATGCAGAGAAGCCGAACATTGTAGCACCCATAATAATTTACTGACACTCCTTGAACCCACTGGAGATATACGAGGAAGCACAAAACGCTATGAAGGCCACATTTTTTAAGAAATTCTCTCTATCTCTGTTCACTTTGCAGCTATGGGGACCACGTTCAGCATTTCAAGGTGCTGCAGGATCGCTGTGGTCAGTACTACGTGTGGGACGAGCTCTTCTCCTCGCTCAACGAGCTGGTGGAGTTCTACCATAGCAACAGCATCGCTAAGGAGAGGAACGTCTTTCTGAGAGACCCCGAGCAATTCGCTAGGGTGAGCATTGTTTGATTCTTTTTAATTCAATTTAGCCGTCTGAAATACAACAGCAAACATTTCTTTTTTTCTAATATAGCAATCGAAAGCAAATTAGACAACTTTTAAAAATATTAAATTTGCTAAATCTATAAATTAAATATCACATTAAACGATATGACTGATTCCTATTGTGTGTGGGAGATTAACAGTTATTGCAAAGAGAGATGTGGCTTTTTCATTAAAAAAAAAAAAAATTATTCTTCTTATATCACACATTTAATTTCTAGTGATCCTCTTTACCAAACTGCTGTTTCTTTCCATCTCTGAATGTCCTTTTGTCTCACATGTGTCCTTACCAAGTATTTACCACTATTTTATTTTGCAGTGTCATTTTAAATCTCCTCTCCAAACCATTTCAAACACATCTGTTCCCGTCATCCTTCATCTCTTCCATCCCCCTCTTCTATCTGCTGCCGGTGAAACGAATGAAATCTTTTTTTCAATCAAATGTTAAAATCAGACTGTCAGGACAAACATAAAATGCTCCTGTGTGTTCATATTTCATTTTGCAGCGACTTCAAATCATACGTATAAACATATATAGATTTTTCTTTTCTTTATAACAGCTGACAGCTATGGGAACAGTCTATATGTTGGTGAGATTTGTGACCGTGGCAGCAGGGCTTGATATAGAGGTGCAGCTTGTAATGAAAGATCACAGGGGTGCCGCCGGTTAGGAGCGGAACCAAATCAGTCATCTTGGGCATGGAGCCAAAGGGAGGGAGCACTGCAGCGCTCGGGAAAACTGATTTTAAAGGCAATTATTTACTTCACTCAGGATTTAGTCTCTTCATATAAGTCTGGACAGGGCAGTACTTAAGTTTAGTATTAGTCCAGTTTCCCTCCATAGGTCAAGCTGTCATGATTTTCCTCCCATTTGAATTTGATATAGTTCACTTCATAAATCATCGCTGTTCTAAGTAGACAATCCTCCAAACCTGTGAAGGGAGAACAAGTCGTTCAGGGCGTATCCCAAACTTCTCACAGTGTTTTCTCTCAGGTTCAGCAAGAGAAAGTGCACATGACTTGTAGTTCCCATGATGGTGTCACCATGGGAGAAGCGGCTGTTGTCGTTATTGTGAACTCATTATGCTGACAAGATCACATTGCACCATAACTATTCCTGGGAGTGGCACAGGCAAGAAGCCCGCAGGCGTGCTCGGTCGCTGCGGAGGGGTTTGATCCACAGTGATCCTGATGTGACAGCATGTTCTTATCACTGCAACAGCAGCCGCGTGCTAATACTTATCACATCGCACTCGCTTCTGCATCCTGGCACCTGAGAACAGACCGACAGTCTATACGGGAAGATACGGCGTATAATTCTACTTGATGTACAGCAGGCAGGGTAAACAATAACTGAACAAGCTAACCCTAACCACAACAGATGTTTGTTCATAACCATTCTTGCACAAGAGCTATAACAACATAACAGTGATGGCCAATAAAACTTTAATTTCCACCACACTGACTTTACATGTTTGAATAGTCTTCTTGACAATTTGCCCAGTAATTAAGTCACTGCACTTTATCTTCATCGCATTTAGAAACTCCCTCCGAGTCAAGGATGACAAGGAACCAGATGCAATTAGGCCACATGACTCAGTGGTGACACAGCTCATTATTTGTGGTGACGACTAAACATGTTTAATACGGTTTGTCAAAATCTCAGATGACCTCTGTGGTCAGGCCTTCATATTAATTTAGATGAAATGATGATTTACACTTTTCAAAGAAGAAAAAAAAAGGTATCTTTATATATCTAAATATCTCAAATTATATCTCAGATTATCTCTTAAACATTGCGAGATTTTTGAATATTTCTACCAATTTCCCCAGATCTTAATGAAAAAAAATATTTAGGCAACTCTTTCTATTAATGTGTCCAATTTGGTTATATTTAAGAGGGCTGTGTGGACTTCTAGTTTTTTTTTTTTAATCACAAAAATTATCTCGCAAAGTTAAAGAAAGTAAAAACTATTTTTCCTAGATCCATCCCTTAATCAAAATTCAAAGGGTTCCTCCTTTGGTCATACCCCATCTTTTAAGTTTCTGTAAAATCGATTCTGTAGTTTTTTTTCATAATGGCGTGTGACACACACACACACACACCAATGAAAACATAAACTCCTTCGTTTTTTTCTGAAAAAAAGAATAAAATATCAAGCACTGTATTAATAAAGTCCTATAGGTTCATGACCATACGCAGCCCTTAATAATCTGATATGAAATGTGTTGAGTCTGTAAGCCTGTCTGAAGCCTCTGCTCTTTTGAAGATGAGCCACATGTATTGATCCCTGCGATGTGTGAGCTTTACTTCAATATATCTGGACCTTCAGAGGGAGCGAGCGCTTTCTTTTCCCCCTTGATATCAACCATTTTCTAAAACTTGATCTTCTATCTCAGATGAGTTGTGTCGTTACTGGCAGTTACTGCTGCCGCTGTATTTCACCTGGTGCAGCAGCAGCCTTTCAGATCAGAATGACAGGTTTTGATCCTAAAAATAGTGCTGTTGCTTCACAGAGCAGCATCTCCACAAAGATAACCGTTGTTTAGTAACATCCAGCTTCACAACTCAAAACTTCCACCTTATACTCAGTCCTCTAAAACAAATTGCAGCCGGAGCAGGTGCAACCGAAGCCTTGAATTTGGCTGCAGGGTTGTTTGATGACAGTTAGACAAAAGACAATTGACCCCTACATCTGCTCAACCTGCTTATTCCCAACAGTCATTCTGTCATTGTCAAAAGAAATTCTGTTGTTAGTGGATCCGCAGTCAAACCCAAGGAAAGTAATCCTGTTAATCTGTTTCCTTTGACAACACCTGCATGAAATAAGGACGGTGGGCGAAGAAATTGCTGAAGATGCTGCATTATTTTCCTGTTTTATGGTTATACCTTTTACTGAAGACATTAATTAGATGTTTATGCTTATTTATTTCATTCGATTCCGGATCCAAAGGTCACAGTGACCTCATATGAGTCTGTATAAATACGTTTGATTAATGATTAATAGTTTTCTCTGCAAACTGTAAATCTAACGATGAAAACCTAAAAGATTTTAACAATGATACAACAAAACAAAAGAGACAAAAGCCCTCACGTTCTGGGAGTTGTGCTTGAAAAATGACTCAAACAATGAACTAATTATCAAAGAAGCTGCTGATTAATTTTCTGTTGACTGATTAAATGAGTAATCAGCTCAGCTTTATTCTTTAGGCAGTTACTGCTCTATTTACAACACTCTACAGGACACTGAATGTGCCGAGACATACACTGTAATGAGCTGGATACGTTTCTTACCCATGTAAAATAAGAATAAAAAGTATGCAGTGTGGTATCAGGTGCAAAAAACGTGGAACATCTTTTCCCATTCAATCTTACATTTGATTTATTTCCTCAGCGTTTGTTGTTCAGTAAGCAGGATTATGCAAAAACAACTGAGCTGATCTCCATGAAATGTTTTGGCCCTAAGAAGAACCATTCAATTTAAGAGCAGACACAAATAAAAAGGCAGATCAAGGATGTTTTCCCTTTTTTACTTTCAAATTGTGAAAAAAGTATCAATACAATGATCAACCACTTCTTTTAATTCTCAAATTGGCCTCAAGATGTGCTTTGTTCCAAATTATTATTCAGTTTCATAAAACGGTTGTGTTTTGCTGGTCATATACAGTATCCGCTGTGTCATTCCAACACTGACTCATTGGTTGTGACTGTTGTTGAACTGTGGGTCACTGTGTTGCTTTGTCACGACCTGCAGATAATCTGACAACATGCCCCACAGCCGAGTGTCGTGCTGAAGGTGCTGTGTTTACCTCCGCTGTGTTGTAGTTGGTCCACATCGGATCACGGCAGATGAGTCAAACCTTTATGTTCATGCGCTCTTGTTTACTTTACTGTCTGTAACTGTTTTAATTAGAGTCTTAAGGGGTCGGTCATATTTTCCATTATCTATTTATAAAAAGCAAATTGGCAGCGATTCAGCAGCACGCATTCTGCAAATGCAGATCCACTGTCTGCCAATATACTTATTATGTAGTATACAATTTATTTGGTGCTTAAGATTTATTATTATTATCATTATTTTGGACTCATCTCAGTATTGAATCATCTAAGAAAAATAAAATAAACTTTTCTTGAGTTAGTTTTCTCATCTTTCCCTGCAGCCTGTTTTCATCTTCAGCCTCAGTCTCAGCAGAACAAAGATTATAAACTCCATCTTACCTTTTCTGCAGTATCGTCTTAGATGTGAAAGTGTATCATGGTCATCTTCAATCCAAGCCAGGGGTCTTGGTCTCTGCAGATTAAAACAGAGCTGGGTTTTACTTGTCATTTTATAGAAAGTCATCATCACCTGGTATTTGTATCTGTCGAGCTTTATCATGGCCGTCAGCATCAACAAAGCTGATTGACTCATATCTGCTTTTCTTGTGGTTTCAAACATCTCTGCTGTAACTGACGAAGGAAGAATTCCAAGTTAACTATAGTCTGTTGGCTCCTCGTAATGGATCATGCATATTCATCGTCATTTGCAGGCCTAACCATTTGTAGGGTAGTTGGACAACGGTGGTGAAGAAAGCAACTCCCATAATGCCACGCTGCTTCATGACATCAAGTCTAGTGGCTGAAGTAACATATCATACATTTAAGGCTTCATTTACATGGATTATTATGTCAGAGGGATAATTGAATTGGAAAAAAGCTTTTTTTAACATTCTGCCAGATTCATTCAGCAGCTCTCTCCCCGGCCTCTGTACCGTCGCTGTGTATGCTCTCTACCAAACATATATATAGTAAACACATTAAATATTAAATACTAATATTGTACCCACTTCTGCTGTTACCAACATACCGGTGCAGGTTTTAGTCAGTGACACTAAAAGCACAAAAGTACAAGAAGAAGCGAGTTCTCACATCGCTCCCTTTAGACCTTTAGATTATTCATTGAATGTATGAAAAAGAACTTGTGTTAACTTTAACCCATGTACTAGAAATTATTCGAGGAAATATTGTGTTGGGTTGATTATCCCTCTTTCTCTTTCTGACCCCATCAGATGATCGTCTCTTTTTGTTTTTCATGATATGGGTCAGTTTCATACATATAGAAATCTGGTTTAATCTATGAATGTAATCCATGTTGCAAAAGCTTCTGAGATGTTTTGTTGCAGCGGCTTCTTAGATGCTGCAGTTTCTTTTTTGTGTTGTCTCTGCCATTGTGCAGTTTGTCTCTCCAAGCTAATTCCACATCAGCTCATTACATGGCCTGAGATCACTTCTTATCTCACCACGGCAGGATCGGAAATAATTCTCAGTCTGTTATTTTTTTTCTTTTTTTTGTCACTTGTCCAACCAGCATATCCCCAATGTCCTCACTAAGCTTTTTCTTCAAATAAAAAAGCCGCATTAACGTTGCCCTCTCTTCTGAGGGGAAGTGGAAACAGAAGCTCTAAAAGCCCAATGTGTGTGTGTGTGTGTGTGTGTGCGGAGACAAATCTATTACAAAGCTGGAGCCCGCTGATGTTACGGAGCTCTCACTCTGGGTCGGAGCTGATCACAGGGCAGCCAAGCACTGCTGATATGGAGGGACCGTATATTTCTCCTTCCAAACCGCTGTTTACAAGTTGGCGCTGAAAAGTGAATGGGTTCTTCCAGTGTTGTCACACACATTCAAATATACACAAAAGTCACAGGATTGCACATTCAAACTCCCACAGCGAGCAAACAGAGGCCTGCGCACACACACTCGCTCACACCCAAACTCTCAGGGCGTGCGAGCATGCACACACAACCTCGAAGTCTAGACGAGATCAGTAACACAAAACAGGATAATACTGTGAGGACTTCTTTAGATTAATAGATTGTGTTTGTCTGTCTTGAATCTAATCCTGCCGTCTGGTTTGAGAATATTGTGCATGTGCCTGCCTGCATTGAGATTCAATACACTTTATAACATCATGTCAGGAGTGGAGATAAAGCTTAAATATGACCCAGCTCTCTTTTTTGTATTTGCCTTCCTGTAACTCTGTGTCAAAGTTTTCACCTCTCATTGTCAAATTCACCGTGTCAATATTTGTACAGGGTTAAACATATTTGTGTTTCAAAAGTCCCTGAGGCAACAAAAACTATTTTTATAAAGGAAAAGGTTTTTTTTTTTCTTAATGAAAATTGAATGAAAAAGATAAATAAAATATATATTGTGCTTTAATGAATCAAAGATTACAATCTTTAAAGTGGACGCAACTTTATGGTCTTTCAGCTTGAATACTCTGCTTTACTGAAGTGGATTTGAACTCTCATACACCAGGGAGTCAGCTCATGCTCTTTACTTCCACCTCCTTCTCTGCCTCTCTCTCAGATTCTTAACGTCTTTGTTTTTGTTAACTGATTTTACAATTAATAATTTCACTTTTAACCAACTAACTTTTAAGGCACAGGCCGAGTAGTTAAATGTGTGATGACAGAATGATGACCTGCAGAATGAGCTTTAGCTGTTGTGCGTATGACAGGGAGTGTAGAGGAAGATGCAGTGCGGACAAATCATGTTAAGTTCCAGCTGATTACTACCAAACATAATGTATGATAATATGTTATAATAAAGCAAACGTTATATCGGAAATGGAGAGTTTTTCTCCTTTGAAAGAAGAGCAGAGGTTGGCAATGAAGGCTTTCATCCATGGAAAAGATATTTCACTCTTGTCTTCAGATACAAAGTCCAGCTGACGGTGTTTCCCCCACAAACCACTAACATTGAAAGCTAGTATATTGAGAGGTAAAAGAAACATGATCAAAAATGGGGTTTGATTTCCTGACAGTCTTAAAGAGTGTGGCTCAGTGACCACTTTTTATTAACTTTCTCTCTCCCTGTTTGTCTTCTTCACTTCCACAGCGTCCCCATCACGCGCACGCTCTCTTCGACTTCTCCCCCCACCACCCTTCCCAGCTACGCTTCCTGCGCGGCGACGTCATCGAACTCATTGACTGCTCTGATTCGCTGCGCTGGAGGGGCCGTTGCCATGGGCACGTGGGCTTCTTCCCACCAGAGTACGTCCAGCCTATTTACCAGTGCCAATGAACTGACGTGTCAATCAAACACAGAGCCAACACCGCAGGTTCCTCGATTGAGCCATCTCGACCCTCGCCCCCCCACACTGCTCCCCTGCTCTGCACTCGCCCAATTAATTTCCAGAGTGGACGACTGACGAGCTGATGCTGAACTGCTCTTAAGTAACTGACTCCTCCAATTTCCTGTGATGTCACAAGCCTCGTCCAATCGGTTGCCACAGCGTCATCAATTGCTCTCACCCGATCCCACGACCCCACTTCTCTGTAATCATAAAAAATTCCAGATTTGGACCTAAACACTGTGGAGAATTCACAGACTAACACACACACACCTAGACATAATCATTTATTGCAGCTTATACGCACTGCTGCAGACTAAATACTGGAACACACACACACTAACCTGATGGAAAAGAATGAAGGGAGTGTGTGAGGCCCACAGGAGCGAGTGGAGGAGGGTCAAGGTTTTCTTTGCTGCAGATGAGTCAGGATTCGCTCCGGCACCTTGCAGCCATTCCCACAAGGAGATCCGGGGAGCTGGGCGGAGAGACATGGAGAGTTATTGTGTTGTGAATAAATGGGAGAGTTAGTGAAGACTCTGTGAAAACTGACACAGCAGATTCCTCTTCCTCCTCTGGACTGATGTGTGTGAGGAGAGATTCTGGGTTTAAATGTGGGCCTGAGTACGTTAAACTTTATTTAACTGTTGTTATTGGGTGACAATAAGAAGATGTGTGCATGAGTATGGGGATACCGTGTGTGTGTGTGTGTGTGTGTGTGTGTGTGTGTGTGTGTGTGTGTGTGTGTGTGTGTGTGTGTCTTTGGACCAGTGAGATGTTCACTCCCCAATCACTGCTTTGTTTTATACATGTATACACATAGCCTAAAATGTAAAATGCTCATCTCAACATATGGACCATTTGTTTCTATGTATTTATTCTTATTCATGTGAAATCTTAGAATACATATATTACAAGTGAGATTTAACTCTTTACAAAGCTTTTGTTCCTGTTGCAAACAACTGATTAAGAGAAGCACATTTTACGTGATGAACAGTGAGAACAAGGACCGGTCTTCCCTAACCTGTAGTGACAAATCATTTCAATAAAGTGATGCATTTATCTCTTTGAACTTGACCCTTGGACATTATTGTTCTTTAAGAACAGAGAATGACAAACATTTCACAAATCTGAGGTTAATCAATTGTGTCACATCTCAATCAACATAAATATTATAGCAACATATATATTGGACTTATATATTCGACATATATAGTCATGAAAATCTTTGCTGTGAAAGATGTTTGTCAAAGTAGAATGGTTCTATTTTTTCTTGTCTCTGCGTCCTTGTTTTTAAATTGTTTTTCTTGCTTAGTTTCGCAGACTTCAGTTTGTCCAGAGAACATGTGACCATAAATGATTAATCGAAATAACAAAAACACTAATAGCAGCTGAATTCATGGTGATAATCATTACATGCCGCTGTACAAACAATTTTGTCGGTCACTGGAAGAATTTACTGTACTAATAAGGTCATTAGTGTTATGACAACTGTGCACATGTCAGATGAGATCTCATTGTCAATTAAGCCTTATTACCACCATGATCTATTAGGTCTGAATGTGTCTATGAGTGTGACTGAACAGCACTTCAACTGATGACACACTTTCAATATATTTCATTATGGAAGTTAGCCTGTCACTTGACACTAGACTGGTGCTATGTGAGGAATGCGGCGCTGCTTCTCTCACCAGGATGTCGTGTTTGAAATGAAGCAGGTTTATATTCCGTTTACATTTTTCTTTCAGTCCTTTGTCTCCTCCTTAGTTTTTTTTTTTCTCTCAAACAAACCATGTTTTTCATTCCTCCTGACAGAGTCACCTCTGGCTTTGCACTGACAGTCAATAAACCAGCGTCATCGAGCAGGGGAGAAGAAGAAAGGTGTAACCAGAAATAGCACTTTCTGTTCTTTTTAAAACTGCAGAGTCACTTTGAAGTGCGTGCGTGACAGGCTGGCACAGTTACGATGGCATATTTGTGTCATACATAAGAAGTGAGACGACTTAAATATCACTGACACAGTCACAAAGAGAAAATGCTTTAAAAGTAACAGGCGAGAGCAGGAAATGGAGACAGACAGAGGCAAAGAGGAAGACACCTGAAGTGCAGTAGTGAGACAGCAGCGAAATGAGCGAATAAGGAGAAAGAGAAATGTGCAACGACGTGTGACAATAAAACAGAAAGCAAGAGGCAGAGCATTGATGAAAGGTGGAAAGGGCAAGGAAGCAACGTTTCAACAAAGAGCCACAGTAAAAGAGCGAGCGGGGGGGGAAGGTGTGAGAGCTGTGACATGATATTGACAGTCTGACTGTTTAAGCCCTGAAGTGAAATGGAGGAATAACCACAACCGGCCCGCAAACCAGTCGAACACCCATGAAACCAGCAGAACCATTTATCACAGTATTATTCATATGATGGCAACCAGCCAGTCAATAAATCGAAAAGCTCAACTGCACATTGTGTGAGTTGTCAGCAAGATACTGCCCGTATGTGATGTGCAGTGCCAGTCAAGCTTCCCTCCACAGCCTCCACAGCCTGCAGGTCTGGAGGTGGGTGGCTCACGGCACTACACTGTAACTTAGCTATGCCAAAATGTCTTTATTGCTAAGGTGAATATGAAGTTAACATATTAACTGTAAAGGTCAAAGTATAATGCTGCAATGTTAAAGAAAGTGAAAAACTATATTCCTGAATCTGCCCCTTTTAGACAAACCGAAATGTAATAAGTTCTTCCCAGACTCAAACTCTATCGTGACACAAAGATGGACTGCACGTCCATGTCCGGCATTAAACATGAAACCTGAGACTTTTGCACCAACAAAGCTTGTTCGCTCTGATGTGTTCTGCTGCCTCATGCGTGCAATAAACATTGTTTTTCTTCTTCCTGTTGGCCTGAAGGCAACAACATATGTTAACCACAGTAAATGAATAATGCATGTTCGTTTAGACTTTGTGACTGATGCGTACCTCCCAACATGCTATAGTACGCCCCTAAGGCAAAGTTACAACCTTCAGAGTAATCCCGTCTTTCTGTCACACAGAGTAGATAATGGCGTACATCTCGCACAGCCGCAGAGATCAAACCTCATGTGACTGTTAATCAAGTGAAGTTAGGTTATTTAAACTTATTCAAACATGAAAGATATATATATATAACTACCCTGCAAACCCTGAGGCTATGTGTTTGAGTTGGCCGTTGTTCTTGTGAAGACATATCTTCCTTTGACGGTTGCATGTATATAACTGTGGTTAACTTGTTAGTGTCATCAAGGTGTAATTTAGTTGAATTTCACTAATGTGCAGTGAAACCAAAACTGAAGGTGGTGGTTTAATATTCGCATGTCAGTGGAGATTATTGTTCAGGACATGAAATAGATACTGAACATTCTTGTAGTTATTTTTAATTTTTGTTATTTTATGGTCTGTCCCCTCCAGTTAATGTTTTAGAAATCCCAACCTTGTCTCTGTAATTCTTTGTAAGTAATTATGTGGTTCAGCTTGATCTTTTCCAAACACTCTCCTCCCCTCCTGGCAGGAGAGTGAAGAAACAAGACAGAACAGGTAAAACAGCCCCGCGCAGGTTGTGTATGATATGCTGATGGTTTTCAGGTGGGTATATATGGAACTGACAGATTGAAGCTTTAAAGCAGTTCAGGAAAAGAGGGACAGCTTCATTTAATCGCTTTTTTCTCCAGTCAAACTCAGATGCCATCTGTATTTCCTGTTCTTAGTCCAGGACATGCTCACACAAACAAACACAGAGTGCTGCGTTTTAACCCCAACCTACCTCTTAACCAAACCGCTTACCATAATCTAAACCCAATTCTAACCATAACATATACCCAACCTTACCCTTACTTTAGCTTTAACCTTAACCCAACTTAACCCTTTATTTAAACACAACCTAACCATAACGTTAATATAAACTAAAATCTAACCCTATCGTAACCATAATCTAACCCCAAACTAAACCTTACCCTAACTATAATATAACCCTTACCCTATCCATAATCTAAACCCAACATAAACCGAACTATAACCTTAACCCAAACTAACCCTTAATCTAACTATAACCTAAACCTAACCATACCTAAACCCATTTCCCCTTGACCCTCACACTAAAAGTGAGGACGGACCTCACTCTGAAAGGTCTCTAGACCACAGACTGTATATAAAGGGTCCTAACAAAGATACACGCACGCACACACACTTGTTGGAGAGCCCTACAGGCCACGTGACAGAGGTGTGCATGTTTCTGCTCAGTGTGAGGGTGGGTGTGTTTTGTCTGTCAGGGTAACACCTGTCGGGCGGTGCCGCCGGCGGGATGAGTGTGTGTGTGTGTGTGTCTCGTTCACTCCGTCATGTCTGAGTGCTAATGGAGCGGGTCACGGGAGGAGCAGCGGACCTCATGAAGTTGTTGTCGGTGTCTGGAGACCTGCTGCTCGGCTGCTTCGACTCGAGGCGACGCGTTAATGCGGCTCCTTCCTCCGGAGAGAGGAGAAGTTCCTGAAGTGTGTTCCTCTGAAGTGTTCTGGTTCTCTGGAGGGTTCTGGTTCTCTGGAGGGTTCTGGTTCTCTGGAGGGTTCTGGTTCTGGTCATGGCTCTGTCCCAGCTCCAGTGTCTTGACGACAACCACGTGAACCCGCGCACGCATGAGTCCAAAGTGGAGTTCCTGTACTGTGAGGACCAGAGGCTCGCGCTCGAGGCTTTCCTGCGGGATGGTCGCGAGGCGCTGGTCAAGCTCCAGCAGGAACGAGGCCTGCGGGGTTTCCTCTCGGAGCCGGAGATGGAGGCTCTGGCCGCGGCGGTGGAGCCCTACGACCCGGGCTCGGAGCTGTACCCGGGGGACGCGGAGGACGACGAGCCCCCGCTGTCACTGCACTACTGGCCCGAGCTGTCGGACACCTCTGTCCCGCAGATGGACCTGGGCTGGCCCGACAGTGACTCGTACCGGGGGGTGACGCGCGCCACCGTGTACGCGCAGCCACCGCTGGAGGGTCAGACGCACATCAAAGAGGTTGTGAGGAAGATGATTGCGCAGGCGCAGAAGGTACGGGGGGGAGATATTTATTGATGGATTGATACAGATAAATGGTTGATGGATGTATGCAGGTAGATAACGATGGATGGATGAATGGATATGTAAAACAATGGATAGATGGATGGATGAATATGTAAAACAATGGATAGATGGATGGATGGATATATAAAACAATGGATAGATGGATGGATGAATATGTAACACAATGGATAGATGGATGGATATATAACACAATGGATAGATGGATGGATGGATAGATGGATAGATGGATGGATGGATATATAACACAAGGGATAGATGGATGGATGGATGGATATATAACACAAGGGATAGATGGATGGATAGATGGATGGATAGATGGATGGATGGATATATAAAACAATGGATGGATGAATATGTAACACAATGGATAGATGGATGGATG